TGCAAAAAATATGGCAATCATTAAAAAGCATAATGAATTATATAAACAAGGCAAATCATCATTTATGCTTGGTCCAACTGTAATGAGTGATATGGTAAGATGTAAAATTTTATAATAATATTATTGTATGTAAAAGATGAAAAAGATTATAAATTACAAATGGTGTAAATAGAAATAACAACAATTAATTAACTGATCAGTTATGATTATAGACAAAAGAAGATATGGATAGTGAATTCCCGGCGATAAAATTTAACGATACAGATTATCCACTACCACCGAATTTAACAGAAAGTTCAGTGAAAAGTATTAATTGGGTCGATAAAAATGCTGTCACAAAAGTTAGAAATCTAAGGAAAGATGGGGTAATTCATTTATTTCACGTTATTTTATAATTAGTCTTTCATAACTAATATTATTGAAATAAAATGTGAAAGTTCATTTAATTGTTATTAATTTAATTAACATAAATAATCATCAATCAATGGCAATGAAATGATAACAAAATTGTGAAGCATCTAATGATAAGATAAAGGTGATAAGATACTAAAGAATATTGTTGTTTTAAGACCATTTTTCTGTGTTCTTTCTTTTAAGCTTAATTTTTTTAAAATAAAGAATTTGAAAAAGCTAAATAGACCTTTGAGTATAGCTTATCATTTAAGTTAAAAAATTGTTGAAAAACCTCATATATTATATATATGAAAAAATGTGATACAGAAGGGTTAGTGTATCACAGGAATTCTTACCATTACCATTAAATCAATTAAAGTTAATATTTTTTTAAATTTCCATTTAAGTATATATAAAAAGAATATTTTAAAGGTTTGTCGCGCTGCAGCTGGTGCCAGTTCAGTAGCGAATGTTTTGGAAGCATTAGTTAAAATGCGAAGAAAAAAATTGTTAACACTTTCGATGCAGGAATTATTGGATTGCGGTGATACGGTGTGCGGTGGTGTGGGGAACTTTGAAAAGGTTTATATTGCTTTTGAACATGCTCAATTAGATAAATTTAATCAAGCTTCTTAAAATGATATAAGTTACTTATATCATTTCGTAGCAATTTAATCAATATGCTATAATAAGTGTATGGACGAAAGTTTTTATTATGCTAACAGCAATTTCATGCTAGATATAATAATTATAATAATAGTAATAATGATAACAATAATAATAATAATAATAATAATGATAATATTATCAATAATATTAATAATAATAATAACAATAAGATGAGTGATAATTACAATTTATAATAAGTCGCCAATTATTATACATTATACAAAATCAATATTGTCAGTAATAATAATCTGATAGAATAAATAATTCGTCCTTATATTGAATTTATCAATGCTAAAACGATTGAGACATTATAAACAATAAGATGATTAAGACAGCATAATCAAACAATTGTTAATTATAGATCACCAATTATTATATATTATACAAAATCAATATTATCAGTGATAATAATTTGATAAAATAAATAGTTCGCTTTGTTTTATTTAACAATGTTAAAATTGCAAAAATTTTTTTTCGTATTTATTATTGATATAGTTTTAATTTTTATTACATTTTAATTCTTAAAATTATTTTGATGGATAAGCGATTTCTTTTTGTGTGATAGCGACAATTAATGATAATGATTTATAATAATGAAAATTTATTAATTAGTGAACAATAATTGAGATAGTTAATTGTGGTAATTCAATTTATGCATATTATGCTATTTCTTTTAATCATTTATCTTCTTCAGTATTCCGATTATATCATGAAAAATAAGGGATTGGTCACTGAGAAGAATTATCCGTATGTTAAGAAACGACAGGCATGTACTGCCGCTGGTAAAAGATTTGGAAGGGTTAATTTTGTCCTGACACCGAGGCATACTACATCAATGATATTCAAGGCATTGCTAGCAAAAGGACCGATTGCTACAAGAATTTTAGTCACAGAAAATTTCGTAAATTATAAAGAAGGTAAGAAAAATTAAGTTTGTTTTAAAAAGCAAAATAAAATGAACAGAGAGAGAATGAGAGAAAGAGGGGGAGTAAATGTAGAAAAAAAGGAAAAGTAAAAATGAGAGAGATGAAAAGAAATGAATAATTAAATGAAATAGGAAGATAGACTTTATCATCATAAATTCATCGTCTTCTCTTTCTATTACAGCATACAAATCTAAGCTAACAATTTTTGATATGAAAAAAATTTACAGGAATATTTCGTGATCAGTGCGAATATGGTTATTATTCGCATACTGTATTAGCTGTTGGATTTACAGAGGATTACATTCTGTTAAAAAATAGGTTAAAAAATTTTCATTTATATATTTTGTAAAATTTTCAACATTTTATGAAATGATTTTTTATACTGTCAAATTTTCCTTTAAATCAAAAATTTAATAATTCTTTATTTCTCTGTTTCCAATCTCTCTCTACCAATAAATTTGTTGACAGAGTAAAAATTAAATTTTTTAGGGAAGCTAATGATAACATCAAAATTGTTAGTCAAAATGATTCATCATATATATTACATCTTCAACTTATTAAGATTAATTTCATTAAGAGTAAATTGTTTATTATTTTAAGTTGAATTGTTTATTCATATTGTTAATAATTAATTTGTTTTCATTATTTACTTATAAAAAGAATAATAAAATTTTAAAACATTTTTAAATTCAATCAAACTATTCAAATAATCTTTTTATAAAATTGATAAATTGATTATATCACTTTGATACTAAAAAATAAATAGGATGACGTTAATATAGCACGTGCAAATATCGTATCTGTGTCCGGAACACTTTTCAAAAACTTTTCTAATTAATAAAATCTTATTTAAATTAATGAATAAATGAAATGATAACTAATTTTTCAGTTGGGGAACCGATTGGGGTGAAAAAGGATATATGCGTATTTCAGTACATCAAAGCGAAAATTGCAATATATATCTTCAATTATTTGCTGTAATTTAAACAGTAAGATAAATTGATTAGCCATTTTTTTTTATCATAATTAGTATTGTCTTTTAATGGATTATTGAAATTTCAAAAATGCAATAAATTCCAATTTCATTTTATTTGCAATTCAATAGTTATTGTTATTATAGAATATAGCATATAAAATAAATTATTTATTATAAATGATTGATTTGTTTGTTTGTGTGTGTGTGTGTATGTTTTTTCTTCTTTTCAAATAATCGGAAATTAAATTTATTTAATTATCTTTAAAATGGAATAGATGAAAAGATGAATGAAATAATTTGTTTAAAATAATGAATGAAATTATTTCAGTTAGTTTTAGTAGAAATTGTTGATTTTAGTAGAAAATGATTTTAATAGAAATTGTTGATTTGTAATACTGAGAAATATTCGGTAATAAATATTGTAAATTTGTGGTTCACAAAATACTTGTAATAGAAAATATCGAGTTACTAAATTATATTTCGATTAATATATTCAAATATTTCTTTTCTCATTTCCCATATCAAATGTTAAAATTCTCACATATCGATTAATGGTAGTTTGTCTATGAAATCAACTTTTCAGTTTTAATTTTTTAACCTAAAATCGTAATCTAAAACACGCCATGATATGTAATTGTAATTGATGTTAAATGTATTCCGCAATTTAAACATAATCATCGAACAGTAAAAGCGTCTGTTTGTGTGATATATGTGTATTGGAACGGAAAAAAATAGTAGGAATGTCCAGTTGTTTATTGAACCAGAAAAAGAGTAGGAACGTCCAGTTGTCTATTGGACCGGAAAAAAAAGATTTAAAAAACCATGAAAAGAATGAACGACCGGATAACAGTAGGAGCGTCCAGTTGTCTATTGGACCGGAAAAAGAATTGCAACGTCCAGTTGTCTATTGAACCGTAGAAAGAGTTATGAATATGAAAAGAATGAACAATGAATTTTTCAATAATTTAATTAAATTTTCAAGTATTATTAATTAAGTCAAAAATTTCTTTTCTTAGCATTGCACGTTTTTCCACGAACTTAACATATTTTCAAAAAAAAATTAAATTTGAAATGAATATTGAAATAATGAAATACTGAAATAATACTGAAATAATTACTTCTTATTTATACTTCCAAATATTTATACTATCAACGACAATTTCTCCGATAACATTTGTAATTTTTTAATTAAAAATAATTTAACAAATTTGTTAATTAAAAAAAAAATTTTTTTATTTATGCAAATTTTTGAAATATGCAAAAATTTGCAGATATTATAAATAGCTTTCAATTTTAACTTTATTTATACTTCCAAATATTCATACTATTATTTAATCATTAATTGTTAGGTTGTCATTAAATTCTGTCCGTTTCGTTTTTTTTCATTTTAAATTTCAACATTTCATTTTTTGTTTCTTCTTTTACTAATTCAAATATATATATATATATATATTTTCCATTTTAGTTTATCATACATTGATTGATTAGGTTATTGATTTATTTATATTTCCAAATATTCATAATATTATTTAATCATTAATTGCTAGATTATCATTAAATTCTTTAGTACGTAATTTATACCGAAAATTTCATTTCATTCCAATTTTAAACCTTCTTTTTAAATAGATTATTTATTCATTCAAACAGTAACAATCTATGCGATAGGTATCATTGTTACTTTATTGAAAAGCATTTAATTACGAACGAATAAATTTTTTAATTTAGGTTTGTGAAGAATTTTGTAGTATTTCAAGGTTTATGCTTGTGAATAAAAATTAAATTTAGGTGATAGTACTTCTGGGTTTAAGCTCGTGAATAGAAATTAAATTTAGGTGATAGTATTCCAAGGTTTAAGCTTGTGAATAGAAATTAAATTTAGGTGATAGTACTTCTGGGTTTAAGCTCGTGAATAGAAATTAAATTTAGGTGATAGTATTCCAAGGTTTAAGCTTGTGAATAGAAATTAAATTTAGGTGATAGTATTCCAAGATTTAAGCTCGTGAATAGAAATTAAATTTAGGTGATAGTATTTCTAGGTTTAAGCTTGTGAATAGAAATTAAATTTAGGTACAATATGTCGAAGGTGAATCTTAAATTTAAGAATTCTTTTTTTTAAAGCAGTTATAAATGCCAATAAATTATCTCTTAATCATTTCAAATCTTTCCTAACTAAATTTTGCTTCCATTTTAAATTAAATATTTTAAAAAAAAAATTTAGTTTCAATTTATTTAATTAACAATTGGTCGGTTGCTTAATTCCTATTCATACTGTATGTTTATGCATGTGCATATCTTGTCCATTTATGTAATTGTACTGTATCTTTCATTGTTGATTTCAAACGTGGAAATTCTTCTCCAGATAAAGTACCATAGAGATATAAATTAAGTAACATAGAAATGGAACAACAATAACCCCCTATATCTTAACATTTTCTCGACAACAAATTTAATGGACTAAAATTTCATTGCGAGTCTTTTGATGGACGATTAAATTTGTGCTCCCCTTTTCTCATATGTATAATGTATCGGTGGTATGTTGTTGATATGTGTGTGTGTGTGTGTGTGTGTGTGTGTGTGTGTGTGTATGTGTCTTTATCTTTGTGTGTACTTTTATCTGTGTTCCATTATGTATCTTTATGTGTATGTGGTGTTTATGTGTACATACATATATGTGGGTGTTTAGATGTATACATGTATGTATATAAAATCTAAGTTTGTGTATACGTGTTTTATATGTCGGCGAAGTAATAACATTTTAACAGGAGGAAAGCATTGTAATGATCAGTGTTCGTTCCAGTGAATCGTTTGCTGTTGGTGGTTGGTGACAGCGTCGGCAAAAGACACATTTTGTTGTCGTTGATTGCTAATTGATCCATTTGCCTTTTTCTGTACATAACGTATATTATTATTTCTACTAATTATATTTGTACAGAATGACACGTAAGTTATTTAAATATTTCAATTTTGGTACTGGTTTTGCTCTTTTTTCATTACATTTTTTTTTTTTGAATACACACGCACTTATTGATTATTTTTCGATGTATTATTTTAACTTAATAAAATTGAGTATTTAAATTTTTTCTATGTTCTACTATATCATCATTGCACTTATTGCTATATTTCATGTGATGTTTAGCAAGATATTTACTTATGTTGTTAAAAACTTCTATGCAACTTTTCCGTTGCAATGATACAGGTAATGTTGACATCGAACAGCAGAGGAGAAAGAAAAATACATTTCGAACAAAAATTTAATTTTTATTAATTTACTCTTTTTTTGGCATACAAATTGTACGAGGAGGATATCAGATGTATAGTCATTTACGCATCAATCAAAAGCAACTGTGCAAATATATTTCCAGGTGGTAATCAGCGTGAACTGGCTCGTGAAAGAAATTTGAAAAAACAGCAGCAGCAAAAGAAGTCACAATCCCATCAGAATGTTAGTGAATTATTAGTTATTGTTTCACCTAAAGGAAAACTTCATTTTAAACCTATTGCGCTCCTATTACGTCCTATTACGCTGGAATTATAAAATCAATTCATTTAAATTACATGGTTGTGGGAATTTTGTCGGTATTTGCCGAATTAATTGATGTCGGAATATTTTCTGTAATAGAGTTAGGAGTGTAATATCTCGGTATTCTAAATTGCGAGTATATATGAAGTGATATTCCGAAAATTTGTCAATATTGTGAAAGTAACATGTGCGCAAGAGAAAAGTGATAGGCTCAAATTGAAGACAGGACAAGTTAATAAATCTGAAGAATAATCATCCGGTATATAAACACAGTGGTATGATGGCTAATATTGCATTGGCAGTTTCAATATTTCACGATTTCCGAAGCTCGTTAATTAATGGACAGAAATATGTCAGTATCGAATTCTTACTTTTACCATGGGATTTAGTGAACTTCTCTGGAATCCGATTTGAACATTAGTTGTTATGGAAAGTAATGGCGGTTGGATGATGCTGATGTACAATAACGATAAACAGTGTGTTGCAAACGAGAAATGTGTTAGAACGATAAGTAAATTGGGAGGAAAAACAGTGTTTCAAGGTAATCGCTAAAGTAGTTCATCGATAGCCAATAGGCTAAATGAAGTGGGTCGAAGGAAACATTTTTCGAAGTGGAAAAGTGAGGACGCAAGCGATGAGGCACCAATCGAATTTTAAACATATCTGGACTTTTAAAAATTCAGAAATTTTGGACCGATACCTACTGAAGATCATTTTCAGGGCGTAAAATTGGATAATAGGATGGAACGAGATGCAGACATCATGCGTAAGAAGCAAGAAGCGGCAGCAGCGAAGAAAGCAGCAGAAGAAGCTGCACATGCTGAAAAAAATAAAAAACTCCAAATATTCGACCCACTTAAATAATTCTTTCATTACCGACAGTGGAAAAGCTATGTATCAAAACAAGGCCTTCTGCTTTATATCATTTCTTCCTTGCTTCTAATTGCAGATATAACCCTTACTTCTCAGTTGTTTTAGAAGCATGCAAAAATTTTCAGCTGAGAAGAATCTCTTCCTTGATGATATGACTCTAGCGACATTGGGAATTTCATTCCTAATTTTTCATTTCATGTACTACTGCATTATTCATTTCTTTCATTCTCTCAGAAGAAAACATAGTTAACCAGTTGGTTTATTTGCAAGCGAGCTTCAAAAGCCTTCTAAAGTAGTGAATGATCTCTCTCCATTTGCAACAACCGTTTTAGTCAACCATCGGTGTTATTAACGTATTATACATAATCTCTAACCAAAAATAAAAGCTTCTTACCGAAAGTAAAAAACTTTAGGACTCTCCTTGTATTACTCGTAGGTCTGAAGGGAACGGATAAGGGTTGAATAAGTAATCTTGCTTCACTATTTTTTTATGACGAAGCCCACATTTGAAAGGGATTTGATTTCATATGTTCATTTTCAAGCATAATCGTTAGGTAGCCAATTGATGTTTGATGTGACGCTATAAATTTCCAAATTTTTAATCAATGAGTTGGGATAGATATCGAAATAGTGATGAGCCTACAGCGAAGTCCATATTTCATTTTTTACAAAGGTTGTGCGGATTCAACACACTCCATCACAGATAAAATATGGACAACATTTGGGGAATGACGAGGTGATTCTTCGAGGAACAAAAGGATTCTTCAAATTTCATTTGTAAAAATGTCGTCACGATTAAGAGACCAGATATTAAAAACTTGAAATATAAAAAGGAAATAAACATAACGCAATGAACAGATCATCATAATGTTCACAATTACTGCTAAACTTTCTTCCCTCTTTTCTTGTTTTTATCTTGAATGGCCTGCAACTGTTGTAAATTTATTAGTTTCATCATCATTAATCAAATCAAATCCCACCTAATGAAAATATCGCTAAATCAATGGAATCGATTAAAGCATATTGCGTCCGGCTATTCGTGCAGTATTTTGGTTGGCAAAAGTCTCACTGAATTGCAATAATTTACTTCATTTCGAGTTTCGGCGAAACCTTAATATCACTGTCAGAGACCGATCCATACTACTACATAATTAGCGCTGAATGTAGTCGTAATGCCCTTGCCGAAAATTTGACACTATCAAGTACTGCGAGGAAGAACGAGGAGAAAATCTCTTTCACACTTCATAGTCGGGAGGAAAGCTACTGATAAAATGAAAATAACACAATACTGAGAGGAGAGACGGTACTTTACCTGATAGTAACCAGTATGGTATCCGGTCATGTACCATGACATCAGCATACTTGCCAATGCTTCGTCATCATCCGGTGGTGGTAAATTGGTAAAGGCTATCGGTGGGGGTGGGACCAGCGATGGAATCTGGAAAAGGCATTATTTTTCTTTGTAACGAATCATATCAAATTTGATTATTATAAGTGAACAAATACTATTAGCACACATGCACTTCTCCACACTTCAGCACATTTTCAGTTTGAATTCTGCGGTATGAAAGGCATCAGTGATTTGTAGAATTTAGCATACTTTGACTTCCTCAAAAAAAAAAGCTTACGGAGGTCGATGATGATTGCGCATAATTGAGGTGTTTCGTCGCTGTCGGCGTATGATTCATTTGTGACACTTTTTCTTCCGTGTCGAACGTTTCTTGGGTGGTGTTTCCTTCCGATGTACCCTCTTCGTCATTCTCCACCGGCCTGATTAGTTCGAAACATTAAAGAACAAACGTAAAAATACAAAAAGTGGAAAGGAGGAACACAGTATTAAATTTCTCAGGTTGATAGATTAATAAAACCAAGAAAAGGATCAACTACAGAAGGATGGGAGATAGTTAATGCTTCTATTTTGGATAATTTCAAACAAGGTATATTGGAAAATTTTGCATATGTCTAACTGAAAAGTAAAATTCTTTTAAAGCTTTTGGATTTCAATATAACAACACGACTGGGGGGTCATAAAGAATGAACAGCTTTGCAGCATTACCAAGAAGTCTATGTAATTAATGGAGGCATTTGCCGTAATGATAATATTAACTGGAGACAGTACAGACTATCAGCTTTCATCGAATGGAATTAACGGAACAGTGGCAGGTGATACAAAGCTTCTCAACAAACGAACCGACATCGCAGATACATCCATATTCAATTTAAATGCAAAATCACCGAGTGCCTTTTCAGGTGATTTTTGTAAAGTAACAACTGGATAATAACCATTAGATATTATCAGTGCAAGGACCTCATAAAAGCTCACTTCTGATGTCTGAGATTATCCAGTATACGCATCAGGTAGATATTTCGTGGTAAATCAAACGCAACGTTTCTTTGAAAGGCAGCATTATTCGAAAGTATGGCAAATGTCTGCTGATCCTTTTTCCGTCTCTTGCCTCCACGCTCCATTTGCATAATATTTGTCCAGTCCGGGTAATATTTTTTAGTTTTACGCTTACGACATTGTTGCGGCTGTTGCTGTTGTTGCCCATTATCGTAATTTCTTGGACGTATGGCAAAACGTGAAAAACTAAGCCAGCTGTGTTGCCGTCTCATACGTGGCACTGATGGCCTCTTACGTAACATCCTGCGAGTATGGAAAACGCTTGAAAACATTCTACGACTAACATTTTCTGCTAGGAATAGGGAAAGAAAACCTGGCTTCGAATCACTAGGAAATAAACACGGCGTATTTTGGACTATTCAAAGATATTTCGATGACAATAACCACGAAATAAAATAACGAAAAGGAATTGAGATATCTATGAAGAATCTCACTTATATAACTTTGCTATATTTATAAATATAAAATATGTAAAATAATATCGTCTTCCCTCATATTCATTTCATCATTCTTCTTTCCTATCCTTTAAATTCTCTCTTAACAAAACTTTAAGCAAAGGCACTTTAACAATACTAATATATCCTCCCTCAAATAGGTCAAAAATTTGGCGCAAACATTATTGAGACAATCGACCCAAAATTTATCTAAAACTCCTAAAAAACCATAATCTTCATACTCCAACACTATAAAGTCCTAAATATGCAGGGATTAACCAATCACCTTGGTGATCATCGGAACTAGCTTTGCACAGTAGCAACAATATTCTTTTCATAGAAAAAGGCGCTTATTGCAGTTTGAAAGCAAATCAGGTGGTGAGGATTACATAATAATATTTAGCAAACGACAAAATTAGTTGTTACCAGAAACTCTTTTCCTCTCCATCTCGAAAATTTTATTTTTGAACGTCTCAAAATTTTATCATTTCTGATGTGACTTTTTGTGGAATTCGTTTCTTTGAATCAATTATATGTGATTTATGCTTCACTAAGACTGAAGGCTCATGTCTCCTATATCTTTATGCTACATAATATTTTTCGCCATAATAAAATGTAAAAAAATTATTTTCATTCATTCCAGTGTAGCAGTCGCGAGCCGTTTGCGTAGTAACACAACATTTCGGTATACCTTATTTCTAAGCTAGTGATAACAGTACGCACAGCAATCTTCCGGCTTCTTAATCATCTGACCATACATGCAGTATAGAACACAAGTTATTAAAATTCCATGACTCGATTACAATCATTTCATTAATAAAATGATAGTATTAATCAGAAATTGAAAATGATAGAGAAATTCTATCGGAAATATTCTCTTTTCGGACTACCTAAAATCTTACACAAATACTATGTTACATTTGGAGTTTACCACCATTTTCAACCACACATTTATACAATGTAAAAAATTTCACTCACTTTGTAAGATCCGCAATACTAACACGTGCTAATTCATTGTAAACATCATAAAGGACGTCACATTTGCCGTCATCCAAATCAAGTTTTTTAACAACCGCTGGATACCATAGTTGATCATTATAATAAGGTGCCATACAATGATCACCCACGTGCCACTAAAAACAATGAGCAGGTACCATTTGCTATACAAATAAAATTTCCGGAATAATCTCTTCGCATAAATAAAAATTTCTATACTCCTTCTTTGAATATCCTTAATTCGACTGATGACTGCATGATACAAGACTGAAACATATCAAAAATGAAGACATACAAAAAATTCCGATTTCTTTCTATCTACTCTATCATTTTTCAGCCCAATCCTTACGATCATCCATGAGAATTGAAATTTGCTTGAACAATCCAAATCAAATTCAGCTAATCTTATATTTTTATGCCCAAAAATTGAAACAGAAATAGACAATCTTAGTAATGGAATATATGGACCTTCATTTTGGAAGTCCTGCGAGATTTTTTCTTTTTTTTCGTTGTCGAAGTACACTGTGCACCAAGAGAATCCTGAAATTTGTATCCCTACTGTCTGGTAATTCTGCAGTCAACAGCATTCGGACATGACCTTAAGGTTCTTGAACAAAATATGCTATATAGTAACAACTTTTACGACTTTATGATAATGCATTTTGAAAGACATTTAGCATAAAATACTTATATGAAATAAACCTCTGTTAGTCTATGTTCAAGGTACATATGTTTAGTACATATATCAAACAATGATTTTCATGACATGCACGTGATTTTTTTGGCTCTTTCGAACAAATCTGGTGTATGGGTACTACGAAATTTTTGAAAAAGAACAAAGTTGAAAACTAACATAAGTTCGGTTGATCATTTCATCATACATTTTAATCAGCGCACTATCATCCCAAACATCTTCATTTTCTGCATCTTCAAGATCTGCCTATAAAAAGAAAAAGGAAGCATTTTGATAGAGAAAATGACTTCCCCTTTATACCTATGAGATTTTCTAAAACTGATTGCCACAGCAGTAATATCTTGACTGGAGAAGGTTTACTTTAGTAAAAAAGTAGACCAATTATATTCAAATTAATGGTTTTTTATTATATTAATTCTACCTGGCATAAAAAAATCATATCTCATATACGATAATACGTAAACATTGCTATTCCAAAGACTATCTTCTGAGAATATACCTTTCTGTATACCATATTTGCTTCATTTGGGCTATCGGAGCCCATCATGAATCCGGCAATCCACGAAACAAACACTTTCGGTACTAGAAGTATTCTCTGCAAAAATAAATTGCCCACAATCAACACCACCTGAACTTCATTAATTTCTTGCAAAACGGTTCACCAAACGACGGCACCATTCAATTTTATTACAGCGCGAAGATGCTAAAATGTTTCATGACACTATGGTAATGCAGAATAGCCCTTCTGACAGTGTTAATATAAACTTCGTATTTTTAATCCAATGTGTTCGTTATGAAATTCCGTCAAAAAATATTTCGAGCTATAATTTTATTCATGACAATATTCGCTAATCGTTATGCGGAAAGTGAGTTAAAATATGAATTAAATTAAAATTAATAATTAAAATCCCAACTATGATTCCCTTATTAGATTCATTTAAAACTGTATCCAAAAAAATAAATCATCAATAAAAAGAAAAACAAAAGTAAAGACAATAAAAATTCAATGAATATAATCATTCATTCTTCTCAAAGAGTAAAATTGGCACTACAAACTTTATTAACAAATACTGTATGAAAATATATAGCATATGAACTTATTATATAATATTTCAATCAATAATTATTAATCAATATCTAATATCGTCTAAACAACATAGCGATAAACAGTGTAAGTATTAAAATAGTTAATTTCAACGCCGTAAAGAATTATGTCATTTATCAGTATCATTAACATTGCCTCTGGAGCACGAATTACTCCAAATTTTCGAATAACTATTTCACATAATTACTTCACGATAAGCCATAATAATTATAATTAGTCCACACTATTCCACAGTATTCTCGATTGTCAACAAAACTAAAAAAAAGCAAAAAAATTAATGGACTCAATCTCATACTATTATAACTTAATTCTTTTCCGGGCTACAGGATACTTACACCATTAGAAGACGAGGTGAAAAGTTATTAAAAGAAAAGAAAGTGAAGGAAAGGAAAAAATATAAATCTTTCTCGAAACTCTTCAACTATATTCTTTTAAAAACTGAAGAAACTTAGTAAAGTTCAAATATCAAAGAAATGTAAACATATGTCTAATTTTTTCAATATACGAATTGTTGTCGATTTATTGCTGTAAATGATTAAAATATTGTACCTGTCTTTAAACAAAATTAGTGTTTTGACACATTTTCCTTACTCATAGAATAAGTAAGAAAAGCATAAAAGCCAGTCCAAATTGCATATGGAAGCAGAAGATAACCAGCTGTTCTGTCGATCTAAAATTTGAATAAAAAAATCGATGAAAAACAAAACATTGACAACTCCCAAACCGACATTATGTGAAAGTAAACGTGAATCAAAGTAAAACTGGAACGGCACTAATTTCTGGCTTATTCCATGAAATATGTATGTAAACAGATATGAAAAAACGCCAAATCTCGTATTTTGATTAGCTTTACTTTCTTTTTGAATGCAAAACAAATATAAACTCCGTATCTGAGATCCGTAATTTTATAAAAATTCAGAAACTAAGACAGTCATAGACTGATAGATTATCAGCTAATCAATACCTCGAAACTGCATAAATGAACAAAGTAAGCAAAAAATTGAAACGAACCTTATAAAACGCGAATGCTGCGCCAACTGCTGTTGCATTCAAAAGTACTGTGTTTCGGAACAACTAAATAAGCGATCAAATTTAAATGAATTGAAAAAAGTGAATCTAAAATTAGCTTTAACTTTTTTAAAGAAAAGAAAAAAATGGTTCATTGCTCAGGGGAATCGCAACAAAGGAATATCAGAAGTGTAAATTACTTACAGAAGTAAAACTTCTCCTTTTGATTAACGGAATTGTTGCGAGAGCAAAAACCATGTTTAGTCCATATAATCCAAGCGCCACCTTCGTATCAGTGTATTGTAAACCTGCAATAGATGCAAAAATAGAACTTGCAGTGACAGTAAAATACTCCCATGTTCCGATTTTACATTTGTACCTAGAATTTAAGATCATTTGCAATTTTTTACGACAGTTTACGGAAAAAATCATATTTTGATCAAAATTTAACAAGAAATAAAATGACTAAGGTTGTATGATATACTTACCACCTCCATTTTTGTAAACGAGGTAAGATGCATATCCCAAAGGACTTAGTGTTGCAATATCAAGAAGAGAATATACCACTGGATCTTTTGGAGCCCATTCTGGTTTCTTCGCGTGCTGCAAAATACTGCAATAACAAAATATATTGGAGGGAAAATCAACCGCAACAGCTTAATTGTTTGTTAAAGTTTAAACTAGAGGGATTAATCCATGGCAAAATGTGTGAACTTCGTCAAAATACAATCACAAAGCAAGCAAGTTTATTGAAATGAAGCAGAAAAAAAATCCAAAATACCATATATCTAACAGAAATGATAAATTTGTTGAATAAATGCATAAACTGAAGAAATAAAAAACAAAAACGATGCTTACTGTCCACCAATCTACAACGCTGCGATCATTTGCAAATACAGCAAATGCTGCAAAAGCAGTGGTACCAGGTATCAGACTAGCCAGAATAGCATTTCTAGTATCTTCCGATGTCCAAATTGGCTCCATTCCGAAACGCCTCATTTCCAATTTAAGATGTTTACCTCAACAAACAACAAACAATTTACGAAACTAATCAAATAAATTAATATCTTTCAGCACATACAACAATGTAAAAATTCACATCCTAAATTTTTTTAAAACAACAGTGAAGTGGATAATTCAAAATTTGCACCAATAAGCATTAAAATTATGCAAGAAATCCGAACAGAATGCTATAAAATTTTTCCCCTGAATGACTCAAAAAATAGCGTATCCGGAAAATATCCAGTCACTTCGTTAATTACCCCACAGTAGAATCCTCACACCCTTCTAACTTCTTTGGCCTCTCAAAATTTCACATCATCGGTCTTTCTTCCCCTACCTAATCCTAACTTTTGTATCCTTTGCCATCCTATTCTCTCGTAAGGTATTCGTTTTTGCTAACACCTTTCTCATTCTTTCAACTCCTAACCTTCTCTTAATTCGCCCCTCTACATGATATCTCTTTTCATTCCTTATTCTTTTCCTTCCTCGTCTTTTAAAATCTATTTCTTCATCTTTTCATTTCTCTCGCTCCTCCAAAATCAAAAGTTGGAAAATTATCGATCCTACCAAAGCGGAGACACGATTTTACAAAACACAAATATTACTTTTAGCTTAGTTGAATCAAGCTTACATATACGTGAAAATTGCATAGAGATACCGTATTTTTCAATTCTCACATCTGGATTTATTTTTATAACAAGAAGTCTTCAAATAAACTATAATTATCCACATATATATGACAACAAAAAATCAAACCAATCAGTATTAAAGTATACCACTAATGATCATCGCGAACTATCGATTTTGAGAAATTTGACAGTTAATGATTAAAAATGACATGAAAGATTAGGAGAAAACAAAGAGATGATAAAAACTGAGAAAATAAATGAAATAATATAAAGAAATTGAGACATTAACACTATAAGTAAACTATAATTAATAAACAAAAGGAAGTCAAAGTCAAAGATTGACGAGATAGACTAATGAGGGAATTTACGCTTGCGTTTCTTCTGAACGGTAAAGACTTCTGAAATCATCGAATAACGAATACTACCATAACAACAAGTTCCCACGTGAGAAGGAGAATTTCGCAAGAGTATTTGCTCCGTAGCCACGTACCGAAGAGTTTCGTTTACCCCTATTGCAGTAAGCACTTTTTTAGATAGTATCTATTACATTGACAGAGTCGGAATGAAACTTGCATTCCTACCGGAAGATTGAAGCCATTGTAAAGTATTTAGAGGTTATTATTGCATTTAATTTATCGTATTCTAGTGGTGTTTTAAGATTTCTTAGATTATTCCGCCCTTTAATTTCTTGGGTTGCGATGACTTATATCTTTAAATTAAGAATAGATAATTTCCGGTGATATCTAGAATTAAATATGTATCGCCATTATAACATCGTACGTTCTGCAGAGGAGTAAGAATTCATTATTATCAATTTATTATATGAAAATACTGACGAAGCAATGTTTACATTAGGAATATGAAAGAACCGAAATTTAGGATGAAAAAACCGACAAACTTCTTGTCAAATCAAAAATACTTGAAATGAGAGCCTGATAATTCGTGATTTGCTTAGCCTATTTTATCAGGTATATTTTTTTTTGTAAAGCAAATTTGAGTATCCGTTAAAAGCTATTTGATAAAGGAGAGGTAGAAAGAAGAGGGGAAGAAGAGCAGGATGAAAAGTGCGAAATAACATTTAAGAGGTACAATATCATCAACACACATATTTTATCATTTCATTTCAACGCGTATGCTAACAATGTATAACATCCAGTCCATATAGCGTATGGTATCATCAGTAGGCCAGCTTTGTTATCAAGCTGAAAGAAGAAAATGATTGTATTCTTCGAATGACTTAATACAGTTGATTGATTAACCGGAACTGTTACTGAATCTCATGATTATTGTTATTCAATTAATACAATCTTAACTTGGAATATTATGTGAGAGGAATATTGCTGTTATTGCCTAGCTGATAAATTTGTTTTTCATCAATTAAAACGAACTATGATTGTTTACAAATACTATTAAATTAATTAATACAATCCTAACTTGAAATATTATGGGAGAAGAATATTGCTATTACTGTTAGCTGATAAATTTGTTTTTCATCATTTAAAATAGACTGTGATTATTTACAAATATTAAGTTTTGTGATTAAAGAAAGTTTCCTTTTTGAAAACTTTCATAAAACATCTTTCTATGCTTTCATTTATATTTATTTATTTATTTATATTATATTTATATTTACTCATTTTAATTTCTATCTTTCTATTTTTCTATGTTTTCTTTTCTATGCTTTTATTTATATTGAAATATGAAATTCTATAAATATTATTTTAAAATAATTATTTTTTAATAAAATGAGCAAACCTTATAAAAAGTATAAGTTGTTCCAAGCGCTGTTAAATGCATCAAAAGAGTATGTCTGAATTGCTAAAACAATGCAATCATTTGATACGATTCATTTTGATACCAATTAAATTTCATTTGTTAAATTTTTAATTAACAAAATGTTTTAAATTAACCATTTCAATATAAAAATTAAAATGAAATTATCATCACTTACAGATGTATAATTTTTTGCTTTTGTGAAAGGTAGCGAAAATAATGAGAATATTAAAGTGATACCACAAAGTCCCAATGCAATTTTTGTATCATCGTACATGAAACCTAGAGAAAGAATGAATATGGAATAATGAATATAATTGAAATAAAATTTAATTAAAATATGAACAATTAATGATTGGAATAAAATTCAATGATTATCGATATCAAATCAAGAATTTATTTCTATTCCTTCTATTGATTTCTAGAATTATTCAATTAAACTTAATGTATTAATTGTAAAATCATTTTGTCCGATTAGTTCTATATTTAAAAAATATTGTGTATGTATGTATGTATGTGTGTGTGTATGTGTATGTGTGTGTGTGTGTGTGTGTGTGTGTGTCAACAACAATAATAAAAATTAATATAATTAAATTTAGAATTTACTAATAATGCTAAATTTGCAGCTTTAAATTTCACGATTGCGAATATTTCCCAATTTATCATAAATTAAAAGTTTGAGACGAAATAAATTATCATGGTAACAAATTATATTAATTGTAAAATTATGATTTTATCCAAATAATTCTATATTTAAAAAATATTGTGTATATGTGTCAATGGTAATAATAAAAATTAATATAATTAAATTTAGAATTTACTAATAATGCTAAATTTGCAGTTTTAAATTTCGCGATCGCGAATAATTTCGAATTATTCATAGTGCTAAATTTGCAGCTTTAAATTTCGCAAATAATTGCGAATTATTCATAATTAAAAGTTTGAGACAAAATAAATTATAATGATAACAAAATTATATTAATTGTAAAATTATCATTTTATCCGAATAATTCTATATTAAAATAGTATTGTGCGTGTGCGTTAATAGCAATAATAAAAATTAATATAATTAAATTTAGGATTTACTAATAATGTTAAAAATTGCAGCTTTAAATTTCGCGAATTTTAATCGTTTAATTTATTTCACGAATAATTGCGAATTAATCATAAATTAAAAGGTTGAGACGAAATAAATTATCATGGTAATAAATAGTTTCCTAAAAAAAAAAATATATTTAAGTATCACAAACCTCCACCATATTTATAAGCACGATAAGCAGCATAACCAATAGGTGACATTGTTAAAACATCTAACAATCCATAAATATACGCATCCTTTGGTATCCATAATGGTAATGATGCCTTAAATTTTATTTTTAATTAATTAGATAATAATTTGCATAAAAATTTTTAATTTTTCAAAACTTTTTTTTTTTTGATAAAAATTGTTGTAAATAAAAGAAAGGGAAAATTCGACATAATAAATTTATCAAGCTTACATTCCATTTTTTTGTTGAATTAGGATTATTGGAAGTATATAAGAATGAATTTAATGATATAGCACATGGTACTAATGAACAGATTATGGAACATTTTGTATCATTTCTTGTCCAAATCATTTCCGATCCTATACGTTTTACATGTCTGATGAAATCTGAAATTTTCTAATTAAATTTTATATTGTTTATTATCTTTTCATTTATTAATTTTTCATTCGATTAAATTAGTAAGATGAAAGTTTAATTGAATTTAAGAAAAAAGTTTAATTGGGAAATAAGTTATAGATAAAATCAATATATTATAGAATTAATGATAAAAAAATTGAACGAAGGATGAATCATTTGGATACTTTATTATAATTTTAAATAATTTTTTAAAGAACTTCTGACCTTTAACTCTTTCATATATACATATTACATGAAAGAGTTAAAGGTCAAAAGTTATATATTATATATATAAAATCAATATATTATAGAATTAATGATAAAAAAATTGAAGGAAATATGAATCATTTGGGTACTTTTTTATAATAAATTATTTCAAATAATTTTTTAAAGAACTGTTGACCTTTAACTCTTTCATTTATACATATATCTCAAAGAGTTAAAGGTCAAAAGCTATATATATATATATATACATATATATATATGAAGAAAAAGAAGGAGAGAAAATAAAAGACATACCATTATGTGCGTACATTTCTAATTGATCAGCTGCAATAGAAGAAAACGCTACGATCACTTCGTTTAGCTTTAAAAATAAACTACGATATTTTAAAAATTAAATTTTAAAAAATGAAAGAAAACAATTCGCACGTATGATCTAAAATTAATTCTATCAATTATTGAAATTGATGTTTTATTTTAAAATTTATTTTTAAAGAAAGAAAATGAAAAAGTCTATTTCCAGGTGGTATCATTATGAAATAATTCAGGAAACAATAAATGTTGCATTTTTATTGTTTTAATTATTGCATTTAATTTCTAATTAAATTTGATTCCAATGATTTATTGAAAAATTTTTTATTTCATCATAAATAATATGTAACATACACACATACACACACACACACACACACACACACACACACACCAGTTTACATCAATGAAAAATTTCATCAATACTTTAAATTTACAATAGTTAATTACTAAATGTAAATTGATTTAGGCCTATAATTTAAATGAATATCAATCCGTAGTGATTAAAATTAAATGTAATTCGATTTAGACCTATAATTTAAATGAATATCAATCGGTAGTGACAGTAATGTAATATAGCATAATAAGATGGATATGGGATAGTATAGTTTGTTAATAAAATTAATTTTTAACTATTGAATTCAAATTTTTCATCGCAAATAAATAATACAACGGTATGAAAATTATTCCAATAATACATATGATACTAAGAGTATACAAGCGAAGCGATTAATCTTAAAATTTTGAAGTTTAAATTTTAGAGTGTAAAATTTCAGTATGAATTATGCAAATATTTAAATATAACGGATTAGCAAATTAAAACAATTCGACTTCATTGATGATGTTGAATGTATAATAGAAATAGAAATAGAAAATAAGTACCACTCATGGAAATATCTTATGGTTCTGAAAAGCTTAAACACAAAAAATTATTGAACTAATATAGTTTGCTTTTTGTTTTATAGCACATGAGTGAAAATAAACAAACAGGCAAATAGTCAAAACAAACAAATAAATAAACAAGCAGGCTTTATAGGCAATATTAACTGATCCAGCTGCTGTTAAGTGAACAATAATCGAAAACTTAAATGAAACTTAAAACTAATTTAAATTGAACTGAAATAGTTCAAATCCAGCTACTGCTAAGTGAACAATAATCAAAAACTTATATGGATAACTTAAATGAAACTTAAAACTAATTTAAATTAAACTAAAATAGTTTGACAATAACATATCACCATTATATTTATAAACAGAAGAAACTTGCATAACTTGCAAAACTGACAGCTGTAATCGTCAACGTATCAATGCATGCGAAAGTATCGAAAGATTTCATCACAGTCATAAACAGAAGAAACTTGCATAACTTGCATAATCGACTGATGTAATCGTCAATGCATCAATTGCATGCGAAAGTATCGAAAGGTCTCATCACATTCATAAACAGAAGAAACTTGCATAACTTGCAAAACTGACAGCTGTAATCGTCAACGCATCAATGCATGCGAAAGTATCGAAGGATTTCGATGCTTATTGAAGTTTTTTCCACAACTGCAAAATTTACTAAATAATTCTGCAAATTATTGCAATTTTAATTTCATCCGCAAATTCCGCAAAAAAAAAAGTTGGAAAAAATTTAAACTTTTTTAATATTAAATCAAAATATTCATCAAACTCAAATTTTAATAATTAATAATTTTAATGAAAAAATTTTTCTCTATATTTTCTATATTATAACTTTTCAAAAAATGTATCTTTTAATATGACTATTTTAATATTAGTACTAAAAAATAAACATACGAAAGAGAAAAGAAAAAGATAATAAATAAACATGCAAAAATTTTCGATACAATAATAATGATTATTATATTGATTATATAATATAAATTAAAACGGATTGATCAAAGTCAATAATTGAATTATTGATTATGTAGTAATTATTGAACTTAACTATATTACATCTCTTTTAATTATTTTTATTTCTAAAATTTATCAAATTATAATATTTCAACATATTTATTTATTAGATTAAATAAATCTTTCTATCTTATCTATCCTATCTATCAGTATATCTAATCTTATCAATCTCTTTTTTTAAAACTTATCACAATAAATGCTACAACGATAACAATCATACATATTTCGTCGTTTGATTCATTTGAAATTTGTTGAAATAATTTTAGTTGTGAAAAGAGTTATCACATTGGCAAATAGCATTATAACGGATCAAAGATGATACATTTGTAATGACGTATGATAATCATTATTTGTAAACATTATTGATTAAAACAAATGCAACAATTTCGAAATAATTTTAATAAATTTTTCGTTTAATATTTTGCTATGAAAATATTATCGATAAATAAGATAGTCCTATTTAGGACTATAAGTAATATAAAATACTATAATAGTAATATACTATTATAGTAATACTAATCCTATAATAGTAATACTATAAGGTAGAAATTGTTTTTACATAATAGAGAAAAATTAATAGAATTGAAATGATACGCTCGAATTAATGATCCTGTTTCATGAAATATCGGAAAATATCGTAGCAGAATTATGCCGAAATATAGCAATAAGTACTTTATAAAGGTAAAAAGGAAAAATTAAAGAAAAAATTTATTAAATTTATAAATTCCTCACTAACAATTAATTTCTAAACAAAAAGAAAAATGGATTTTTGACGTTTCGTTAATAATTAAAATATATGTCAATTTCTGATTATTCACCTTTATCAATGATAACAATTGATTTATAGCATTTTTGAATACTATAAAAATGTTATAAATAATGTTTGAAAGATTCAGAATTTAGTACTGGATAAATTTAAATGAATTTAAATACTAATAATTGAAAACCAAATAATTGGCACCATTTCTTATTGATCTGAAAATAAATGGAAACATCTCTAGAGTAGATAATATCTTCGAAAGTTATCATGGATGCAAAATTTAGTATCAGATAAATTTTAATGAATTTAAATACTAATAATTGAAAACTAAATAATTGGCACCATTCCTTATTGATCTGAAAATGAATGGAATCATAAGAGTAGATAATATTTTCGAAAGTTATCATAGATGCAAAATTTAGTATCAGATAAATTTTAATGAATTTAAATACTAATAATTGAAAACTAAATAATTGGCATATTCCTTATTGATCTGAAAATGAATGGAAACATCTCTAGAGTAGATAATATCTTCGGAGATTATCGTAAGCAACATATCCGTAATATCATTATTTTTCATTTGAAATTAAATTTTAACAGTCTTTTTAAGAAATACAAAAAAAATGAATTTAAAATTTAAACATCTTTTTAAGTAATATAAAAGTAAAAGGAAAAAATATTTCTTTTATAAAATTGCATAAAACTTCCACTAGCTTACACCGAACTTTCTTTAGACTTTTTAATATTTGTTTTTCCTATTATTAATTTTTTAAAAAGTACTGCCAACAACCCATTTGTCCATTTATTGACAGCAATAATATTCATGTAAAATGTTGTTGCTATCAATAAATGGAGAATGAGTTGTTGACAGTAACTTTAAACTTTCATGCAAAAATTACTCAATAAAAAATTTTAGATGTAAAATGAAAAGTGTATAACAAAGATTCATAAATTAATTCATTATACTTTCAAATTGCTAAACTATCCGTTAATATGCATAATTGACTAAAGAGTTTGATAAGCATAAATGAATGCAGCATATTCATGCATGTGCACGCAAAACACATTTAAGCATTATATGCATGCGTATTACAATATAGCATTGTTTCAATTTTTACTTTTGAAATTACCTTCTTCATAATTTTTCTTATCTGAAATTATGTTAGTATTGAAAGTGAGTGCAAAAAAAAGAAGTATAAAAGCAAGTTTAGAAATTTGACCTTTGACCGATTTCTGTTCCCTAATATCTTTATCACAATTCACAACAGAATTCATCTCGGCAAAATTCCCATTAGCAAAATGGTTAATTGTTATTTTAAGTTATTTTTAATATTTATTTTTTTTGTTAGTTAAGACAAATTTTTTTGTCATCAATTAAGAGCGGCGATAAGAAAGATAAACAAAAACATTATATACGCTATTATTCATTTTATTTTACTCAATCATCCAATCATCGTTAGTACCACATTCAATTCGAAATTTTGTTAAAACTAAAATAACACGATCGACGAGTTAAATATCGCTAAAGCAATCTCAACGTTATATATTTTTCTTGTATATCACCAAAGATATAAATCGAATTTCGGGTACGAAAAGAAATAAAAATAGATAAACGTAGTTATATAAAAAAAAAAAATGAAATTTGAACAAATCTTTATGCATTTTTCAATAATTACATTCGAATAACGAAAGTTAGCTTCAGGAAGAATGAATGTGATGATGGTAAATAAAATATGAGTTAAAAAATGTTTCGAAAAATTCTCCTCGAATATTTTTCATATCTATCAATAGATATGTGTAGTTATGTAATTATGATTAAACAAGATTATTTGTGAATTGAATAATCACGATTGTTATTAAAGGTACTTTACTACGTATATAAAAAAATTACAAAATAGAAATGGCAAAGATTGACAAGGAAACAATTTACATAAACGATATCATCGCAGTTAAGAAATTCAAAAAAGACAAAATTAACATTAAAATTTTTTTTTTAAATAATAATAAAATTTGCTAAAAAACATATCACGAAAATTTGAAATCAAACGGATCGACAAAAATTAAAGTTAAAATGAACCAATTTGTTTTACAACAAATGAATCGTTAAATCAGTGTACAAGGAAAAATGGACTATTTTGGTTGATCCAAAATATGAGATGAAGAAAATGATCCTGAATATATGTGCTAGATTGTAAAGATATTTTCTCGTACATTTCAAAGTTTACGAGAAAATTTTAAAAGCTTTAAAAGATGAAGCAAATTATTTCAAAATATACTTTTGAAAAAAGCAAAGGAAATTTAATGAAATTTGCAGCACCAAATAAAGAATTTATATTTAGCACAACATTTGCTTATTTAAGAAAAAAAAGGATTTGAAAAGAATGAAAGGAAAAAGGAAAACGAAAAAAAAATTAAAATAGAGAATTTAAAAAGCTGAACGTTCACTTCCTTCTGATGTTGTACAATATGTGAGGTATGTATAAAAGCCTGTCCACAAAGCGTACGGTACTAATAACCATCCAGCTTTGCGATGGATCTGCAAAATATTTCTTGCTATATTAAGTAATTCAAAAAAGAGAAAGTGAGAAATTTTTATTGCGCAATACGTTTTTTGGCAATAAGAAATTGAATTTTGACGGAATACTAAAATTAATCAAATGAATGTAGAAAATATTTCATTTATAAAAAAAGTGCATCACATTGGACGAATATACAAATAAAATAGATCATTTTTTATTTTTAAATAGTATAGAGTATCTGAGTAGTTCGAAAATTTTAATATCCGACGAATTATGCAAATTGTATCTTATCCTACAATTTTCTAATTTAATTAATAAGCTCACTCAAAATGTCATAAAATAAATCTTTCGTCGTTCTTTTTTTGTTTATCTTGGAAATGTGGCAAAACAAAACAAAACATACCTTAAAGAATGCAAATGCTGCCCCAGCTCCAGTCAAATGCATTATAAGTGAGTTACGGAATAACTGAAACTGTGAATATTTAAACTAGAAATTGAAAAACATATTTTGAATTAAATACAATTCAATGAAAATGAAGAATATTAGATCGTAACAACAAATAATTCTGAATAAATAATTGTATTCAGAATTTTTTATTTACACATATAATCAATTGAATTGGAGATTGATTGCAATGAAATATTGGATAAGATAAATTAATGGATTGCAAAAATCCAAATTAAAAATCAAAACTTACACAAACGTAATTCTTTCCTTTCACCAGTGGTATTGTAATAAATGCACAAATCATACTACCACCATATAATGCCATTGCCCACTTTGTATGATTATATGCAAAACCTTCAAAATTCGAAGAAAAAAAATTAAATTTGAAACAAACCGAGGTTCAAAATTTTGTTTTATTTCAAAGTTTTTGTTTCTTTTTATCTCTTTTTGCTACGCTTATATATATGCGCGTATTATCAATCTGCTAGTTATTCAACTAACAATACAATTTTTATAATAAAAATAAGCCCAGAAACCAATCATTACTATTCAATCACGTGCTAGAGAAATTCTCTGATTATTTTTATAGTAAATCTTTTTTCACTTGTATCAGATCCAAAAATGCTAGCTTAAAGTTACAAGCAATTAATAAATTGCTTGCAATCGTCCTCATCAATAAATATGTATTAAAATGTACTATTTAAGAGATTTCCATTGATAAGTGCTTTATATGAATGCAATTCTTAATATATTTTAATACAAATAAGAACAAAAAAAAAAAAAACAACCTCCGCCATACTTATATGCCATATATGACGCGTAACCAAGAGGCGCAATTGTCATAAGATCGATTGCTCCGTAAATCGCTGGATTTTTTGGTGCCCAATTTGGTTTTTTTAAGGTCTATGAAAATATAAACGATTTATTGCGTTCTACATCTCGATTTGTTGCTTTTTTGTAGGAAGGAAGAAAAAAATTTTTTTCAATTTATTACAATAAATTAGTATGACGAAAAAAGAATGAATAAAATTAATATTGAGAAAAATTGTTCAAAAAATATTTCTTCCATTTTATTAATAATATATACATAAAAAAAAACATATTACGTATATAAAAACATATATAAAAACATATTACGTATGTTTATCATGTGTGTAATACGCTTTAAATATGTGTATCACGCGTGCAATAAGCTTTAACTATGTGTATCACGTGTTCAATAAGCTTTACATATTGTATCAGCGTGCAGTGAGCACCATCATTTTGCCAAGCTCTTCATTTATTTATTTTTTTGCTCCTCCCTTTGCAAAAACATTTTATAATAATTGGAAAAACTCACAGACCACCAATGGACCAAATTTTTTTCCTTGCTAAATGATGCAATTGCGCATAATGCCAAAGAACCTGGTACCAATGAAAATAGTACGGCACGTTTCGTATCTTCTGATGTCCAAAGTATAACGTCACCATGTTTGGAACCTAGAATAAAACACTTATTGGAAGAAAAATGAAAAAAAAAATAACTATAAGACTAGTACGGATGAAAATTTGTGTCGAGAAAATTTAAAATATCTTCTAAAATGAAATTAAAATTAAATACATAAAAATAATTCAAATGGCAACGCTCGATTGACTTTATACAATGATAATTAATCTAATGATAGCATAAAACCTTATGATTAATATTCCCATTAGAATGAACGAGAAAAATTAAAGATTTAAATCTTAAATTAAATTCTTATATATAAAATACCGTTTAAAGATGCACCACAAAATTCAAACGAAAATTTAAAAATTTTATGAAATTATTTGAAATTTTCAATATCGTTTTTTTAATTCCTTCCATTGAGAATATTAATCATTTGAATTCTTATAGCATATCTTCAAAATGGATTTTAATATAAATTTCGCTCACCATATTTACTGTCATCATAGTATTGCATGAATAAAGATTCGGACATTGCTACAATCGGGTGATGAAAGAACCTGAAATGAAAAAAATTTTTTTGACAAATTTTACAAGAAGTAAAACCGCAACAGCATTTCACGTTACTTTAAGCGTAGGATGAATGTGAATGAAATAAACAAAAATATTCGATTGTCGTATAAAATTTACTACTTTCCCATAAATAGCTAATTGAATAATGCGGTAAAAGGTAAAACTTCTCGGTTGAGATCAAAAAAATTTGACCGTAAATGATTTGTCTTCGAGTGAATTCACTATGTTTTAAAGTTTGAATTTGCTGCAGTATATATCATTTAAAAAAAAAAAAAAATTTAATATATACAATAACAATTCACCATCCTTGCAACATTTGCTATAATCGAGTAACTGCTTTGTAAAATAAATTTCATTATCCAATATATTATCCAATTATCCAACATTATCTATTATCCAATTACAATATAGTAATTTTCGGATATTAAAATTTCATTCGAAATTTGGCAAGATTTCATTTCAATTCTAGCAAACAAAATAATCCTCAAAGCAATAAGAGAAATAAATTTTAAGAAAGAAACAAAAGCATACAAATAAATCACTGAGACAAAACGATGGTGATAACAAATCATTTCCAATAATAAATAATTTGATTAATAATTCATCAATAATAATGATAGCAGCAATGATAATAATGGTACTACTACTAACAGTAATAATAATAATAACAATTATAATAATAAATAAATAATAATAATAATACAATAATAATCAATAATGATTAATAATAATGATAATAATTAATAATAAATAATATAGTTAATAATAATAATAAATAATAATAATAGTAACAATAATAATAATGATAATAATAATAATAGTAATAACAATAAAAATGATAATAAAAATAACGATAACAGAAACAGTAATAAGTAATAAAAATCATGATTTGATAACAGCCAATGTTCAGCGTAACGATAGAAAACGATGAATAAATAGGACTAGATTGTGAGAATAAGTTATATTAACTTGAAATATGATATACACACACACACACACACACACACACGCACGCACACACATACACACATACATATATAACATATGACAGAAGAGTAAGAGAAAGGTTAAGAATAAGAAATTATTTAAGAGAAGACGGGCAAGAGAGAAGTTGAAAATAAAAGTTTAAAAGAGGAGAGGAATAGTTGACAAAGGAATAATCAATAAAAGAATAATAAATATTTGTGCCAGCATTTGTTAAGGATCGGTAAAGTGAATGGAAAGGGAAGGATTGAGTTGACTGAGACGTACACAACAACACATTAATGTTACATTCATTTACATTTTTTAGTTACCACCCACAGTTAGTTATTTTCTAAATTTAATTTAAATTAAGTTTTAAATTTCAAAATGCATTTACAAAAAAAAGGAAATATTAAAGGATGATACTTTAATAATAAAATTAAAACAATGAAATGTGACAAATTAGTATTACTTAATTATATAAAAAGAAAAGAAAAAATTCTGCAAACTTTATGGTTTTTGCATGTTCCGCTTCAATCCTACTTCTCTTCTATCTCCCACTCTCATGTTTCTCTTTTATCTCTCACTTTTACTTTCATCTCTCACTCTCTCATTCCCAACTTTAATTATTTCCTTCTTTTTTCTTCAATAACTGAGAAATAATTCTAAACATTTAAACAATTAATAAAATTGATAGAAAGTAAAAGGACTATAAAAGTTTCGAAAATATCGATTGGTAATAATGGTAATAACAAACTTCGTAGCATGAAATTACAACTCACACATACACACATACATACATACATAGATGCACACATACACACACACACACACAGACAGAGAGATTAATCTTCCACCATAATCATTGCAATATGTTTCGCTTAACCTTAACATGCATTAATTAATTTTTAATTCTTAATTGGTGGTCATCATCATGAGAGAAAACGAAGAGATGGAAGAGTTGGAGAAGTGAAAAGATGCAAATTGTAAAATGTTCATTAAAAATTTTTTTCTTCTATTGATCATTGATTATTGAGCAGAATGATAATAAAACTGTTAAGTGATAAGAATTAAAAAAAGAATGTATAATTTTTAAAGTTATGATCTTACTTGGAAACCTGGGTACATGTAATCCTCGGTAGTATAGTGGTAAGTATCCGCGCCTGTCACGTGCGAGACCCGGGTTCGATTCCCGGCCGGGGAGCTAACAAGTTACCGATATTCCTTCGGGAATTTCGGCAACGATTTTCCCATTCAATCAAATTGTTGTAAAAGTTCGCCATATACAATGCAATGTTTTTCGCTCCTCTTCATTCCGTATGATAATTATTACAATTAATTTCTGCAAATTATTCAACTTCTTATTCTTATGAAATTTATCAAATTTCACTTGCATATTATTTGAAATCAGTTTCTTCTTTAAACAAGAAGAATTTTAATAAATAGAACTGTTGGATTATTTTATGCAATATTTCAGCGTTTAATACAATAAAATGATCATGCCGGATTTGATAATGTTTATTGATAAAATTCAGAAAGAAACAGAATCCTCAAAATTAAGGAGGATAACTACGATATTATGCGAATCATCAAGTTTTTTGTCGTGATATGATTGTTAATTAAAAATAATCGTTGATAAGTTAAATTATTTGGCTTTCAATTGTTTAATTTTATAATTCTTAACTTTATTTCATTCATTTGATTACTCTTTTATTGATTGTCTTTATAATTGGATTAAAAAAACCAATGAGATTCATATTTTCGGGGTTAAAGTCTATTCTTAAATTCTAATGAATTATTTTTTTTTACTGTATCATCGATACAAAACAACTGGTATTATCACAAATTATCACAAAGTATCGTATTATCACAAACGTCGTATTATCACAAAGTATTTTGATAAAATTTTACAGCTGAAATTTCCTTTATTTACATTACACAAATACATAGGACTTCAACAACTTTAAAAGAACTAAAATATTGTAAGACATAGGTCGGTTAGTGAAGAAGAAATTCTGCACGTGTGTTTTGAGTATTTTATTTCATAGCAAATATTCCATTTGCAATCAAATTATCACCGACGCAGGGATGGAATACAATGAAAAGGATGCAAGAGAAGTACACACTTTCCGGTCTAGAAATCGAATTCCGGTTTGGCGCGTGAAAGATTCGGATACTGGTTACTCATTACTTACTACTACGTACATTACAGTCTGGAAATCCGAAATTGCAACAAATTTTCGATATTACTGCCATATTTTCTAGAATAATGAATTACAAAATGCTAGCAATTAAATTTGAACTATATATAATTAGGAATACTAATTATTGTATTCCTCAATAAAGTGATACTTCATATATATATTGAACAATATATATCACTAAATTAATATACTAGATGAAGTATAATTAAGGCACTAATTATAGCCCAAATTTAATTGTGAGCATTCGCAATCTATTATTCTTGAAAATATGATAGTAATAGCGAAAATTTGTTGCAATTACGGATATATATATATATATATATGTGAAATACCACTTTATTGAATAATAGCAATTAATATTCTAATTATAATTCATTAAGTGCTACTTTATCAATACATAAATTCGTTTTAACCAGAAAATAACCTGTTAATTTTCATTTTTCTATTCTGGAAAATTTTTTGAAAATATCTTCGAAGTTAGCGAAATCTATTGGTAATATCATCGATGATATTTTTGACGGTACTATAATGAAGGAATTTTAACCTTCAAAGTTTGATATTATTATGGAGTAAATGCGTTGTCATAGATTTAAACGCTTTGATATTCCGTTTGATTTTCGAAATTATCGGAAAAGTATTAAATAATAAGGAGATGGTAAAATCCGTTCCTCTTCAATAACTTACAAAATAATAATAATAATAAAAATAATGATTAATAGCAATAATAATAATAATAATAGCAATAATAATAATAGTAATAATAATAATAATAATAATAACAATAATAATAATAGTACTAATAATAATAATATTAGTAATAATAATAATAATATTAATAATAATAATAATAATAATAATAATAATAATAACATGATCAATAATAATAACATAGTCAATAATATTAGCAAGTATTTAATAATAATAAAGAAATGGTAAGATCCCTTTTTTCAATAATTTATAGAAAAATAATAATGATAACGATAATCAATAATATTAACGATAATAATATATTTCGGACATTATCATTGTAAGGATTTGTTTGTTGAGAATGATAGTTGAAATTTCATTCAATAGTACAAAGTTTATCTATTCATTCCTCCTACGAGGATTAACAAAATTGTTTATAAAAATTCGCTTATTCTAAAAGCTTCGCTCTATAAGAAGCTAATTTTAATCACTAATACACTATCATTTAATATATGTATCGTCGCGCTGTTAGAAATTTCCGCTTAATATTATGAAATTTTCATTTAAAATTAAATCCTCAAATATATGAGTCTAAATTTATCTAACACTATCAGATGCCTTATTTTTCCACAGCTGTATATATCATATATTTTTTATAACTATATATATCATATATATATATGATATATATAATTAATGTCAATATTTCAGTTAAATGTATAAAATTTGAAATAAATGCAAAAATTTCGCTTTTTCTTATTTTATTAATTGCTTTTCTTGTGTATATTAATTATACTAATTAATATATATTGATTAATTTATTAATTTCTTTTCTTTTATATACTAATTATAAATTTCCCATAATATTAGTAGTATTCCTAAAAAGTTTTTTCAAATCATTTTTGAAATGCTAAATTTTTATTGACAAAACAAAATAATAATTTCAAAATTTTAACAACAAATACTTTCTTTTTTAATTCAAAAAATAAATTATTTATTTTGCTTTCATTAAAATTTATTTATTCATTTTTCTGTCTTTTCATTTCAATGATTATCCATTTCAATTTTTTTCTATCCTAATATAGGATAACAAGCAAAGAAAGATATA